AGAATAGTGAAGTAGGAAAGCGTCGAACGCCGATTGGGTTTGCGCCCCGCCCCCCCCCAGAACGGGAAAGAGACAATAACGCCTCTGGAGCCTTGGCACAGGACAACATTCGACGAACGACGGGCGCGTGCGTCCACGGGCCCCAAAAGCCCTGAATCCAAACATATTGACGTCTCGCTCATACTGCCGCCGTCGCCCGCCGCCCCTTCTACGGTGAGGCTTTTTTGCTCAGCGTGTCGCTGTGGCGGCCCCGGTGACAGGCTATGCCCTGCGAGCAGCTGGCTTGTCGCTCCTCTCCGCGGGGCGGGAGGCTCGGAAAGGCTCGGGACGTTGAAGCCTGGGGACTGGGAAGTCAATAGCTTGTCGCGCCGAGGCGTTGTGGACCAGAGCCGGCGGCGCGATACGCTAAGCCAAAATTCTCGACCGCATGCCCCGTCCCTGATGGTTTTCGGTCATACCTCGGCTCTCTGGCACCCGTTCAGGACAATCCGGACACTCCCAGAACGCCCTCGGCGAGGCGCAGACGCTGGAAGGCACTCCGAGGCTGGGAAGCCGCCGAGAACCGAAGACAACGCCCAAAAACAGAAAACGTCGAACCTGAAAGCCGAACCTGGAGACCGTACTTCCGCCGGCCCGTGCCAGGAGCGATCGAGGCGCCGAAGGCCGAGCCCTTTCTCGTTAGCGCCCCGCGTGTCGAAAGAAGCTCTGGGCGCCCGCGTGCTCGACGAAGCTCCCAGGCGGGTGCGCGCCCCTGCCATGTGGCCTGGCGGCTTCCACGCCGCTGCCGGCGGTTGTGTTCCAGTTGCACCCTTCCTCTCTTGAGGGGGACCCAGGCATGCTCGCGCCGTGAACGAGAAAACAAGACATGACATGTTTGGCCGTTCTCGGCCTCTGCAGACCCTCGCTGGGCCCCAAGACCGTCGAAACACACACCAGGATGAAAATCCGGTGCCTGGGAAAGGGCCGGGAAAATCAGGACCTCGCATGTCTGGGGAACGAGGTAAGGGGGGGGGACCGGCTCGGGGGCGAAAACGTCGGCGTGGGAGCGGCGATGTATCGGCGATGTATCGGCGGATAGGCCCCCCCTGATAACGAGTCGTCCCTGGGTGGGACGGGCCATCCAGCCCCCATCGGCGATGCATGGGCGACTCGAAGTCGATGCACCCCCTGCTCCCCCTACGGTCGAGAACTTTTGGATAGCGTGTCGCTCCGCCAGTTCTGGCCCATCGCGCTTCGGTGTGACACGCTATCAGCTTCCCCAAGCCTCCCGCCCCGCGGAGCTGAGCGACTCGCCATCCGCTCGCAGGGCATTCCGTGCCGCTGGGGCCGCCACCGCGACACGCTGCGCAAAAATTCCTGGCCGCAACGCTGCCTCCCGACTTCCACTTCTGGCACGGCTGAATTCGACATGCTCCGGGCTCAGCTGCACGCGAGAAAGAGCCCGGGCCAAGACTGCGCCTTGCTGGCCATCGTTCGGACGTCCATTTCCCGTGCATTATTCTATGGTGTGCGTATCATTTCCGCTAGATGATCAAAGGTGTTCCTCGATGGTTTTCGCAAAGAACAAATGCACACGTCTGAGCGACGCCAAGTTTGGCGCGCGGCCTGCCAATGGATAGGACGGTGCGGCAATTCAACGGGCCGCGTGCTCGGGCGTGGCGCCCGCGCGGCCCCCAGAGCGCCGCGCGCGTAAGGCCAGGCTGGCGCAGGGTCACTCATACGTGTGTTCTGAGCTGTTTGATACAGTCAACGCGCACTAAGATTGCACGAAAAGGATGTAGGGGGCCTGGAAGGCCATGCCGACGCTCTTCGAGCGGGGCGCGGCCAGCGAAGGTGGCCAGGCATGGGCCGAAGGGGAAGGATGCAAGGGTAACCTTGGAAAGTCGCTCGTCCTCACTATGCGCGTTGACTGTAAGCGTGGGGGGTGGTTCGTGTGGAGGGTAAAAGGCTGTCCTGCCCCAGGAGAGCCCAGACTCGAATCGGTAAGTCGGATCGGCAATCGAAATTAATCGGATCGGCGGAAATCGGAAGCAACGTCGGGAGAGGTCGAGTTGGCGGAATTCGTCAGGCTGGCAAGGCATCGAGAGACCGAAATCCGGATCGGAATCCGAAATCGAATCGGAATCGGAAACTATCGAAATCGAACCGAATCGGAGGAGTCGAAATAAGCCCTGCTTGCCCTGGGGCGTGGAGGGTTGAATCGCATTTTGTGTTGGGGGTGTTTCGGTAAGGACGGGGGTAGGGCTTGGACGGGCCGTCGGGCGGAATGGCATCGGGTGGGTGGGCGCTTGTGCAACAATTCGGTGCCTGAGGGTTGAGGGGGACCACCCGGGACCCCCGCAGGAACCCAAGAATTACGACCCAGACTTCCGACGTCTTGACTTTTTCAGCGCGGAGTCTCCAGACCTCAGCCTCCTGGGCGCCAATTGTTCCACATGGATAGTTGTTGTTGATGGCCCTGGGGCCGAACACGGGATGCAGACGCCGAGCCGCCCCTTCACCATTGCTGCTATGAGGGTGATTTGCCCGAGTAATTTGTCGATGGCCCTGGAGGCCGAAAAAATGGTGTCCAGACGACAAACACTTCGAACAATAACGCCGTCTTAAGAGGTTGTTCGAGCCGTCGGAGGTCTGGGCTCGAGCCTTCCTGCCCTGGCTTTTTCAATTATGTGTCCCTGATAGCTTTCAGGACGATACATGAATGGGGAGGAGAGGCAAGCCCACTCGGCATCGAATCGGGAACTCGGGTCGAATCGGAGTGTGCGTCGGATTGGGCTGCATCGGCACGGGATCAACATCGAAACGAGATCGGCAACTCCAAAATACGCAACCGCGCCATGCGAACATCGGCCCGCACCGGAATCTCCGACGAGCGGAAGCGAATCGGACCAGGCCGGCCAAAAAATCGGCATGGGAAGCCGGGTGGTGGTGCCTCTTGGCAGCCCTCCGCTGTGCTCCGAGGCCGATCCCGGCCGGCCAGTCCCAGGCAACCCTTCCCGGCCTGCCTGGGACGCCGTCCCTCGGGAAACGAGCGCTCTCGACGTTCGAGTATAGAAGTTCGACAATTCGAGGTTCAAGGGTCCCAGACGTTTTCTGGCTCTGTCGGGGCCTCCAGAAGCCTCTGACGGCGTCCGGGGACCTCTGTGGACCTCTGGGGGCTTCTGGAGACCTACACCTCGCACCTCTTGCCACTGATGTCAATGCCTGCAGGAGGAAGAAGATGAGGAGGCCGAGCGTCTGAGACGGTAGGACGAGGACAAGGAAGATGAGGACGAGGCGGGCGTCCTTCTCCTCACTCCCCCCCGTCCTCGTCGTCCTCGTCGTCCTCGTCGTCCTCGTCGTCCGCCTCCTCCTCCTCCTCCTCCTCCTCCTCCTCCTCCTCCTCCTCCTCCTCTTGGATCCTTCCACTTCCCCCTCCTCATTCCTGCGTGCTCGTGTCTCTCCCTTCCTCCTTCGTCGTCTTTCTCTTTCTCGTCACCCATCCTTCCGCTTCCACGTCCTTCCTCTTCCCCCTCCTCTGAGTTCCTCGACTGCTGTGTATGATAGTGCCAGTGTCCCTTATTGCTCCTCCTCCTCCTCCTCATCCTCATCATCATCATCACCATCACCATCACCAGCATCACCATCATCACCATCAATATCAACATCATCATCCGCAGCATCAGCATCAGCACCAGCACCAGCACCAGCACCAGCATCAGCATCAGCATCAGCAGCATCATCATCACCATCATCACCGCATCATCACCATCACCATCACCATCACCATCACCATCACCATCACCATCACCATCACCATCACCATCACCATCATCATCATCATCATCATCATCATCATCATCAGCATCATCATCATCATCATCGTCATCATCTCCTTCCTCCTGCTGTTCCTGCGAGCGCTGACCCTGCGGATGCTGCCGCTGCTGCAGTTGTTCCTCATCCCACCCGTCTTTACTTCCTCCTCCTTACCTCCTCCGCCTCGTCCTCCTGCTGCGGCTGGTGTTGTTATTTCGTCTTCTCCCTCTGCTCTTCCTGCTCCTCAAGCTGTCACCCTTCCTCCTCCTCCTCCTCCTCCTCCTCCTCCGCCGCCTCCTCGCCCACTCCGCCTTCTCCCTCTCCATCTCCTCGACCTGCACCTCCTCGGCCTCCTCCCCGGCTCCCCCTCGGTCTCCAGATCCTCCTCCGCCTCCTGAACCGTTGGGAAAACCAAAAGGTACCGATACCGCTACTCCCCGGACCTATGATGGGGTCAAAATTTCGAGGCGAATCCAGCGATGGCGACGAGGGCCTTCCAGGAGGCCCAAAAAGGGAAACCGAGGCAAGGGTACAGGTATTGGTACCTTCCTCCTCCTCCTCCTCCTCCTCCTCCTCCTCCTCCTCCTCCTCCTCCTCGCACCAACTTTCCACAACTGCCGCAGCCCCGTGTTGCCACTGCCGCCGCCGCCACTCGCGCGCGCCACGTGCCGCCGCGCCGCCCAGCGGCGCAGAGGAACACAACACGAAACACGCACAACCTTTCGCAGGTGTGCGCGAACTGCTTGGATCTGCGCTGGATCCCCCTGAAGACGAAGCCAGGACGAGGATGACATCGGGTGAGGATAAATCGAGAATCTCTGAGATCCAGCGGCTCTGGAGAATATCTCGGGCGCCGCGGCCTTCTCAGGGCGTTCTGGAACGCTATGAAAGCGTTCCAGAAAGCTCTGGAACTGATTTATCCTCGTCCTAGCCCAGTCCGAACCCCCCCTGGCGCGAGGAGCGCGCCAGGGGCGGCGCCGGAGGCGCCGCCAGGGGAGCCCAGCGCAAATCCAAGAACCCCGCTCCGAAAGTTCATGTTTATGCAACTTTTTCTTCTTCGACGTTTGCCCCCGCCGCCGCCGCAGGTCGCTCGCTCGCGCGCGCGCGCGCGCCGCGCCGCCCAGAAGCGCGCGAGGCCGTCGATGCGCCCCCCGCGACAGAAGCCTTCGCGCCCGAGGCGCGGCGGGGGGCCGGCAACTCGCGGCTTACTTGGGGGGCGTGGGCATCTGGATCCCGGCCAGCTGCCGGACGACGGGCGTCCACTGCCTCGGGGGCCGAGAAGGTACGGCAGACTCGTGTGATGCCGCGGGGATCGTTCAACCTTGAACGATCGACCGTTTCCGAAACGTCAGATCGTTCAACGTCGACCGACTCTGGGTCGCCAGCGGCGTTCAACGTTGAACGCTAGCAGCAGGGTCGCCGCTGGTCGACATGGCGCGAACCTACCGTACGGATGCCGCTTATGAGGAAAAAACTGGAGGCCTCGCACGGCAACTTGAGACCCACTATATGTCGGATCCACGTCGAAACTGTGTCGGATTCACGTAGGACTTACGTCGGAACTTCGCCGCAGAAACGTCGACCCATACCTTACGGAGCGGACGTGTGGACTGGATGGTACAACTATTGCGCGCCTAGGCGATCGACAATGTGTTCGAGCCCATGCTCACGTCCCAACATCGACCCCACGAGAAGCCAGAGCGGCGGCATGGATAGAATGCTGGCCTCCGGGACCACCCTTTTTATCCATGCCCCACTTCCCAAAGCGCCCAGAGCAGGGAACATCAACAGGGTTAAGGATCGGACGTCGATTTTCGACCCACGGACCTCATTTGGGCTGTGCTCTGACCAGAATGTCGAGGAGAATCCAGCCGTGGCGACGAGGGCTCGCAAGGACGAGCAGCGGTGATCGGCATGTTTTGCCAACTATGCGCCAACGCCGATCCTTGCCAGGCTCATCCTGGGCCCAGGATCAGTAGATACGCCAATCCTGGACCCAGGATCGGCCTGGCCAGGCTAGGTGCAGGTGTATGTTTGGCGCCCTCCGATGCCTCATGAAGTCGTCGGCGTCGACGTTCATCAACGTGCCCTCGCCGCCCCACGTGACCTGAGGGCGCGCGACCAGCCCGAGCAGGAGCGAGAGCGAGCAAGACCAGCCGGCGCCGCTCCGCGGCGTGCGCGGGGAGCGCATTCTGCGGGGAGGACGGCGGAGGGGTGAGCGAAGGCCTCCCAAACGGGGTCCCAGTAGGTGGGGGTCCGAGGATCGCGCCGCTTCGCCAATGCATCGCCGATGCATTGGCGATGCGTGGGCGGCGTCGGCGATGCATCGGCGACGTCGGCGTGGAGATGATCAGGCTCGAGCCGCATCGCCGATGCATCGACGATGCGGCGCGATCCTCGGACCCCATTTGGAAGGCCTGGACTGAAGGGGAACGGTAGGAATCAACATCTGGGAGGTCTTCGTAAGAACGCTTATGGGCTACTGGGTGGGCCCGATTAAAAGGATACTGAACCGGAGTCGCCCAGTTTGAGCCGAAGATTACGTCAGATTGCGCAGAAGTGAGCGGAGCTAAGCGGGAGTATGCCGGATTGCACTGTTTTCGACCACGGATACACAAGCGCCAATGCTGAATTTGACCTCCCCAGAGTTGCATCCTCAGGATCGTCAGTGGGCACTGGCGCAGGAGGAGGAACGCCGAGCTGGAATGGGCGATGCGCCATCAATAGATCGGCAATGGGCACCCGACAGCGAGACCGCACGCTCCTGGGCGGGGTGGGCTGTCAGGCCCCCGTCGCCGATCTACGGGCGATTGGGGATCGATGCCTCGCGGCCAGCGACCACTGCCGCTGCCCCGCGGACCCTGTCACTGGGGTGATCACATACATGTGTATACAAGCACTGTTGGCGCTGCCGAGAGGGGCGAAATCCCTTGGCAGGCCCGCGACAAGAGCACACCTTTAGATACTATGGGTAGGAAGAGGGCGAAGACGAAGACGACGACGACGAGCGATGCACCCTCGAGCCTACACCCTCTTGACGTTCCCCCTTGCAGAGGGGGCCGCGGCCCGCCGAAGGCAGTCCTTCCAACCTTCGCGCGTGCTCATTCTCTGAGGATGAAGAGGAGAAGGAAATACCGACAAAGTCGGGGTTGATTGGATAGGATACGCGAGAGGACACACGACCCTTCCGAGGGCCGCATTGCTATACTAGGGGAACGAAACATGGCATAAACATAAAAACTCGGGGGTCCGCGCGGATTTCTTGGACCTGTGCTGGACCCCCCTCCCTGGCGCGCGGAGCGCGCCAGGGGCGGCTCCAGAGGCGCCGCCAGGGGGCCCCAGCGCCGATCCGAGAAATCCGCGCCGACCTCAGAGTTTTTATGTTTATGCCACTTTTTGTTCCCCTATATAGGAATGCAGAAGGCATGGGTCGCGAAACAGAAGACGCAAGGGTATCCTTGATTTGGCGGGGTTGATGTACTAATCAACCTCGACTGTACTTTCACCAACGATACACAGATGCCGCTGCTCCCAGGGCGCGGTCTCACTGGGATCTCGAAGCGAGTCCAGCCGTGGCGACGAGGGACGGGCCACGGCAACGCCATCTTCTCCTCCTCCGATGTGCCGCCACCCTTCCCTCTTCGCCACGGCTGGGTCTACCTCGGAGACCTGGTCAGAACGCACGCCGGGAGAGGCCCGGGGAATAGGTTTTGTCTTCACGATGCAAAATTCGGCGACTCAATCGTGAAGCCGGCAAGCTACTTCGAACGCCGTGCAAATGAAGCGTCCAAAGACGTAGACAAGATGTCATGCAAGCGATGGCGTTTGGAGGGAATGAAAAAAAGAGAGACCATGACCAAGACTGAACGCGGACAACGTCCATGCCGATCTGGGGCACCGTCCATCTTGGCCACCGTCGATTCGTGGATCATCCTCACGAGTCGGCACCAGCCAGAATAAATAAACCATGATCAAGATCGGCGTCGACAAAATCCCGCAATAGACTGGTCGTGGTCGCCGGGTTTCTTCCCCCGGATACGGGAGGGGCGTTCGTTGAGGGATGTGCCCAAGAGGCGTCAGAACCCGAAGGATTCCTCACCTAATGAGGGCGGCAATGATAGCCATCGTCAGTCCATGATTGAAGTTCCACGGGCTTCCAGACCCTGGATTCCTTACAGTCGGGCTGCCGAAACAAGGAACGCCAATTAAGGAACGAAGCCCCTTTTCAGCCCCAGAAGCGCATGCGTGGACGAGGAACGTTGGAGCGGAAACCATGGCATGACCAAACGAACACCGAGCCCCCTCCCGGACCCAAACTGCTCCTTACTTCAACATCGAGCCACGGCCCGGATCCCCGGGCCAGGGCAGCAAGCTCGAGGGGCAGCGCTCGAGGGAGAACATCGCGACTGCCCAGAGCGCTCGTCGTCGTCGTCGTCGTCGTCGTCGTCGTCGTCGTCGTCGTCGACGTCGTCGTCGTCGTCGTCGTCGTCGTCGCCGTCGTCGTCGTCGTCGTCGTCGTCGTCGTCGTCGGCATTCCGGGTCGGCGGTGCAAGCCGCAAGGCCCTCGCAGTGTCGACTGCAGAGCTGACTTGAGCGCCCACCAAGCAGGCCCAGTGCGCCCGGAGAGGCACCTGACCTACAGCCCAGCGGTGGCGGGATGGGCCGAAAGCCACTAGATCCGCCGACCCCTGTCGATTCATCGCAGGGGTGCCTGGCGTGCTGAATCCTTTCGCTTTTGGTTTTGGTTCTTTTTCCAAAAGAACTCCCCATGGGGCTTCGGCGCGTTCCAGCCGGGGTCCTGGAAGGCCGCGTAAACCACCTCAACGTCCACAACAAATCCTCCAAGACGGCTCAAGATGGCCTCCAATATGGTCACGTTGGCCCAAGATGGCCTCCACGATGGTCCAAGATGGCCTCCAAATTCGCCCAAGATGGTCCAAGACGGCTTCCAAGCCGGCCCAAGAGAGGCCAAGACGGCCCAAGAGGCCCCCCAGAGGCCTCCAAGACGGCCCCAGAGGCCTCCAAGAGGTCCTCCAGGAGGGCCCGAAGAGGTCAAAATCAATGATTGTCCTTAGGTTTTTGAGTGATTTTGGCATTCGCTTCTTCTCGGCTGTCCGACGACCCAACACGGCCCAAGAGGCCCCCAAGATCGCCCCCACAGCGCCCAAGAGGCCTGCAAGATTGCCCCGGGACTGCCCAAGAGGCCCCCAAGACGGCCCCAAGAGGGCACAAAGACGACCCCAAGAGGCCTCCAACACGCCCAAGATGGCCTCTAAGACGGCCCTGGAGCACCCCAAGAGGGCCCCAAGTGGGCCCCGAACGGCCCCCCAAACGGTTTTCGACGGCGTCAGACGGGCCAGGAGCACACGAAGATAGCCGAAGTTGGCTCGAAGCTGGCCCAAGACAGCCCGAGAGGCCTCCAAGATGGCCTCCAGGAAGGCAAGAAAAAAGCCAAACACATTGATTTCCAATAGGTTTTTCAAGGATTTTGAGACTTGCTTCGTTTCGGCCTTCCGACGGCCCGATACGGCCCAAGAGCCCCCAACGACCGCCCAAAGATCGCTCAAGAGGCCTCCAAGATGGCCCCAGAACGGCCCAAGAGGCCCCCAAGACGGCCCCAAGAGACCCCCAAGACGGCCCAGGAGGCCTTTCATAAGCCCCAGAAGGCCTCCAAGACGGCCCTGGAGCATTCCAAGAGGGCCCCAAGTCGGCCCAGAGAGGCCCCCCGAATGGCTTTCGACGGCGTCAGATGGGCCAGGGGCCCACCAAGACGGCCGAAGATGGCCCTAAGATGGCCTAAGACGGCCCAAGAAGCCTCCAAGAGGGCCTCCAGGAAGGCCAGAAAAAGGCCAAACACATTGATTTCCCATAGGACTTTTCAAGGATTTTGAGATTTGCGTCGTTTCGGCCTTCCGACGGCCCGATACGGCCCAAGAGCCCCCAACGACCGCCCAAGGATCGCCCAAGAAGCCTCCAAGATGGCCCCAGAACGGCCCAAGAGGCCCCCAAGATGGCCCCAAGAGACCCCCAAGACGGCCCAGGAGGCCTTTCAGAAGCCCCAGAAGGCCTCCAAGACGGCCCTGGAGCATTCCAAGAGGGCCCCAAGTCGGCCCAGAGAGGCCCCCCGAACGGCTTTCGACGGCGTCAGACGGGCCAGGAGCCCACCAAGACGGCCGAAGATGGCCCTAAGATGGCCCAAGACGGCCCACGAGGCCTCCAAGAGGGCCTCCAGCAAAGCCCGAAACATGCCCAAATCATTGATTTCCCATGAGTTTTTGAAGGATCGTGGCATTTGCTTTTTGTCAGCCTTCCGACGGCCCGAGTGCCCCCAAAGATCGCCCAAGAGGCCCAAGACGGCCCCAAGAGGCTCCCAAGATGGCCTCCAAGACGGCCCAAGAGCCCTCCAAGACGTCCTCCAAGAAGGCCCGAAAGGGTCAAAATGGTCTCCAGACGGCCAAGATGACCTTCAAGATGCCCACGTGTACCCCGAACGCTTTCCAAACCGATTCGGGGAACACATGGTCCGATAGCTTGGCAGGTCTGGCCTCAACGTTCGGCCACATAGGCGCTTCCAAAAAGGCAGGGGGCGGCGGTGATTCGCCGTAAGCGTCTTCGATCCGCCGCCCCCGGCTGGCTTGCCACAGGCCACGGAGATTATTGCATAAGAGGTCCGAACGTGCGCGTCGCCAGAATTGATTACCCGTCGAATCTACGAAAATACGAAGGATGCTCCACACATCTACGGAACAAACTACGCATACTATCAATAGATTCCCCCCCTAGAGCTGAGCCGCACGTTCCTGGGCGGGGTGGGAATATCGGGCTCAGTGCGGGCGACGAGTTGTTTGCTGGAGGGGCAGAGAAGGAGCGGCCACAGCACGATGACATGCTCGGCGACGCGTTCGTGAAGCCACTCAGACGATTGGACGTCGATTGGGGGTCGAGGCGCCCCCCCCTAACGTTGCCCCCAGAGGCTCGCGCCACGGGACGCGGCGCCCGGAGCTGGTGGGTGAGAGCCCGGGCAGCGACTCGATCTGGTGGTGGGGTCGAACGCTCGCGCCGTCGCACATAGAAGGGCAGCGCTCTCTTCGCTCTCTGGCGGCGGCCCGTGGACCAAACAAATGCATAAACATAATCTTCCGGAGACCTGCGCTGGGCCTCCCTGACGGCGCATCCGGCGCCGCACCCGGCGCGCTCCGCGCAACAAGGAGTGGACTCCAGAGCAGATTCACAAAATCCGCGCGGATCTCCGAAAGTTCGTTGATTGAGTCGTTTCTTCTTCATTGGACGCCATCCTAACCAGCGTACCGAGCCGCATGCAGCAGCAGTGGTGATGAACACAAGGCGAGGCAACAACTGAGCGCGAGACCAAGAGTACGTACGGGACACCCAGTTCAGAGGCTTGCCGAAACGATTGATGCTGGCAATGCGTGTCCACGGAGTGCTTGTTGGCAGTGGGTCTTGCGAGCGCGCCAAACCCGTCCGAACAGTACTGGAATGAACCCGTGGGGAAGAGAATAGACTGTATCAATCAGTGACGAACTATCCGAATCGCCCGCCGCGGGAATGTCTCGGCTGATACGTTGGGGTGGGGCTGGGGGAAAGGAAGGACGACACCAAGAAACGACGCATTGTCGTGAAACATGTGGAGCATTGCAAGGGGCTCCCTAAAACGAAGCACGCGAGTATCTCGCTCATAGTGCTGGTGTGAGCACTCTGGGTGCCTGGAGCACCCCCTCCGCGAGCTGAGAAGAGTGGGGAGGGGCAGGCATTGGAGGGGGGATCGTTCAGACCAGATAGATGCGGGCATGGCGGGAAAATCTTGGCTGCGCAAAATCAGGCATGGAGAGAGGGACGCTGAGAAGACAAATGGTAGAGTCCATAGCCGCCACAGCAGTGGCAGTGCGAGCCAAACCAGGTGTGCAATATCCAATGCAACTTCAACCTTGGCTCTCGAAGAGGTGCACACATGCCCCGCATGTGTAGAACAACGCTTGGTCCGACACCAGGTGTAGGAGACTTCCAGTCTGGCCGATGGCGTCAGCTTGCAATTCAAGGGTGCGGGGGGGGCGTCGTGTTGTCGTGCATCCTCTTGCCTTCGGCCTTCGTGCCTACGGTCGGTGTTTTCGAAGCGGGCGCGGCCATGAGAATGCGACCTCCTCTCGGGTAGCTACCGCGGCCCCGACACCCTGGAGGCTGGCCGAGGGAGGGCGACCGCGTCTTGGAACGTCAGCTCGTCTTCCTCCCGCAGGGTCTTGAAGCCGAGGCTCTTGTAGTACCGCACCAGACGGCGGTGCTGCTTTTCCTCGCCGCGGGGGGGGGGAGGAGCGGTCGAGTGGCCAGACCCCTCGTCGTCCCCACCTCAGGGCCTCCTCCTCCCGCCTCTGGCTCGCGCAGCGGCGGACGTAGGGCCATACAGGCATGATCACGCTGGGACGTTCAGGAAGCGGTGGAGCGAAAACGGTGCTCTAGCTGCCGACCCGGAACCGGTAGAGCTACAACGACGCTGCATCCGCCGACCCCCACCTGCACGGGGTGAACAGGCGTGCGAGATGGCTTGCAGTCCCTGCCCCCCCCAGTCCGAGACCCCGTCGGAGCCTCCCCCTGCCCTGCTCCCCCTGGCCCCCAAGGTCCGCAATCCCGCTGGAGCTCCCCACTACCTCCAGAGGGAGAGCTGGAGGCACATTGATTTTGGGCGTGCCACGCCACCATAATTTTGTGTGCTCCGGCCTATCAAAGCCAGAGTGCTGCCAAGCCCTCTGACCTTCTTCTTCTTCTTCTTCTTCCTGCTCCATTCTCCTCATCTTCCTCCGCGGCCAGCTGCTGCATCGTGGAGTCCCGTCAGTTGGGAATCCACCATCTTTCAGGACATCCACACTGCACCTAGTCGTTCCGAGAGGGCGGGGAAGGCACTAGTTCCTCGACGCACTTCCCGGGCCTCCGCGGCCTCCAAATTCACCAGCCCGCCCTTCTAAAATGTTGTCCAGTGTGCCCTCCAAGACGCCCCCAGGAGAGCTCTGGCAGGCATCAGAGGCCTCAAAGAGGTGCTCAAGAGAGTCAGCCAACTTGTAAACCGAACAGTCACTGTCCCAATTCACGAGCAGAGCCAGCGCGATGGTGAAACTCTGCGCCAGCTAATCAGGGCAGGGGGAGGAAGAAGGGGAGAAGCTCAAGAGGCCCTAAGAGGCCCTGAGAAAGCCCAAAGAGGTCCCAGAAGCGAACCCACCCAGCCACCCTAGATCATCAGACAGATATGCAACATGCTACGTATTCCGGTGATGTTGAGTCTCACCTCATCGCTTCTGGACGTCTCCGAAGAGATCCAGGAGGCCCCCGAAAGGGCGCCCAGACAGCCCAGGAAACACCAAAGATGCCTCCCCCAGGATGGCTTCATATCAACCCTTCGGCTCACGGCTGTCCTCCAAGACGACTCCGAAATGGCCACACATCGGCCCAAGACTCCCCAAAAGAACCGCAAGAGCCCCGAGCCCCGAAGGCACGCCGATATGGATCCAGCAAGGCCGCAAGAAAGCCCGAGATGGCCCCAGAGAGACCCCTCATGGCCCCAAGCCATGTCACCAACACTCACCGAATGGGACTGTTGCGTGCTAGTTTTCCCCTCGGGGCCAGACCCACACACACACACAATTCGAGATGCATCTGTTCTTTCCCTGCTCTGCCGCTTCCTGCTCCTCCCTCTCTCCTAGCCCTTTCCTTCAAGGGTAGGCGATATGGCGTAAGTATATTTAATATATATATATATATATATATATATATATATATATAGATATTGGGATGTTTACCTCGAAACCTGGGGCATGGCATCGTCACCGCTGGGCACATAAGCGGTCACATCCCATCTCCCCTATCCCCTCGGTCTCTCGACAGCCAACCACGACATCCGTTGCAGTGAAGAAACACCCAATGCCACAAGAAGTCTCGACCGGATCTCTCCACCTCATCCCCAACTCGATCCTCTGAACTGAGCCCGGTCCACCCATGAGGGCCACCAACGCCCGAAACCGACAACCAAACGCCCGCAATCATCTTTTTCTCCACGTCTGCATGGGATGAAGGATGGAGAGAGCAGAGATGGGAGAAGCGACGCCCCTCCCTCTCTCTCTCTGTTCCCTCCCTCCTTCTCCTCTTGCTCTTTCTCCCTCCTCCTGCCCCCTCCGTCCTCCTCCTCAATCCTCCATCCTCCATCCATCCTCCATCCCTCCACCTGCTCATCCTCCTCTTCCTCCCTCCTCATCCTCCCCGAGTCCTCGTCCTTGATCGCGAGCAGGTGCGCCTCCTGGCAGTAGAAGGGCGACTGCTCCCTGTTCCACACGCCGATTGAGACGGCGAGCAGTATGCCGAACCACCGGGCCACCTGCGGGGCCCTCTGGAGGACGTCTCGGATGTCCCCAGCATGGGATCAGGCCCAAGGTTCTCTTTGTCCTTCAGGCCTTTGGTCGCAAGCCAAGGGGGTGTAATACAGCGGCCGGCAACTGTTTCTCGCTCGAAGAATCCGACGACCCCGTCGGCGTGTGTGGGGGGGGGGTCCCGGGGTGGTCGTCCAGGGGCGGTGCCAGGACCCACTTTTTCGATTCGAAGCTCGCCACCTTCTCCTTTCCTCGGAGGGGGGGAGGAGGAGGAGGAGGAGGAGCCCCCTCATCCTTCCGAGAGGGAGGGAGGGAGGGAGGGATGGAGGGAGGCGGAGAAGTCCCCCTTTCCCTTTGGCCGCACGGGATGTCCAAGCTCGCTTGCCCGATGCGAATCGACCCATGTCACAATCAAGTCGAAGAGAAGCCCGTCCCTTGAATCCCTTCCCGACTCGGGGGCGGGGTCCTGGGTTGGTGTGTGTGTGTGTGTGTGTGTGTGTGTGTGTGTGTGTGTGTGTGTGTGTGTGTGTGTGTGTGTGTGTGTGTGGGGACCTCCCCTCCCACCCGCCCGCCCTTCCTGGAATGACTCGCACGACCTTGGAGACATGTTTGGCACTCTTTCGACTACCGAGACCCGCTAGAGCCTTCTCGAAGCAACCACTGGTACACTTGAAGTCTCGCGGGCCGCCTTGAAGGTCTCGAGGGGCCAGTCCAGAAACCCAAATCAGAAGGATCCCAACGTTGTTTTTAACAGTCTCGCCGCATCGCAGGAGCGTCTAAGACCGCCCACGGGCCTCCCACGATCCCCCTGGAAAATAGCAGCCCACATGGTTTCGGCTTTCTGGCGACCTTTTCGCCCTCCAGAAAGCTATAAGAAATGTATTGCGCTTCGAACGATCCCCACCGACACCTTGCGCGTTTGTTCTCGACGGCACGCGGTCGCATAATTGGTCGACAACTGCCGTTTCGGGAATCAAAAACGGTTCAACCGTGTTCCATGCAGTCACGTTCTGTCATGTTCTGCTCGATTATGTCGTGCTCTGCTCTCGACGCGCCGGCGTGACGTCGTGACGCTTGTGACGTTAGATGCGCCGTCTGTTATGTTCCTCGTCACTTATATTTTCTCTTCTGGTTGAGTATGTTATTGTGTGCTCATCTCTGCCGCCAAATGATTTGAAATGAAATGGTCTGATCTGCTCTGTGGCACTATGTTATGTTACCGTATGCCATGTCAAACTATTGTCTAGTGTGCTCTGTTCCGTGATGCTGTTAACGGCCCGACTCAACATAATATATTATGATGTGTTATTCTAGTATGTGTCGCTATGCTCTGCTGCCGTGTTATGATATGCTATGTGATACTGTCATGATATGGTATGGTATGTTATATCATGGTGTGTTATGTTATGCTCGGATCGTTTATGTAATGTTGTGGTATGCCGTCTTATGTGATGACATGTTCTGCTCTGGCATGTTCTGTGCTGTTCGTTGTGTTGACGGCTCGGATCTGTATAATACAATCGAATATGCTCTGCTAGTATGCGTCGCTATGCCCGGCTGTAGTGCTATGGCATGAAATGTGATGCTGTGCCATGCTATGCTATGTTGTATCAAGGTGCGTTATGCCATGCTCGATTATGCCATGGTATGTTGTGTTATGCCGTCTTCTGCTCTGTCATGTTCTGCTATGGTATGTTATGAGATGCTATGGTATGCCCTCGTGTGTCATGGTATTGCTATATTATGCCTTGTCATGTTCTGTCATGCTCGTGTTCTGCTCTGTCATGCTCTCTTGTGGCATGCTGTGTTATGGCGTGTTCGTCGTCGCTATGCTCTGCTGTCGTTTTATGACGTGTTCTGTGATGCTGTGTCATGGTATGATATGGTATGTCAAGGTTTGCTATGTTACGCTCGGCTCCGTTCTGCTATGTTGTGTTCTGTCGTGTTCGTCGAGGGCGCCGCGAGGTGGGACCATCGGGACAACTGGGGATCTTGCGGCCGCGGTATGCTGGGTGGTGTTGGCCGGGTGCGAGGCGGGACACCTGGGATACTGGGGACAACTTGGGGTCTGGCGGCCGCAATATGCAAGGCGGGGTTGGCTGGGCGCGAGGTGGGACACCCAGAATACTCGGGACACTCGGGACAACTTGGGATCTGGCGGGCGCGGTATGCAGGGTGGGAAACAAACAACCCATGCAACAATGTACGAATACGCCCGAAAGACCATCCGAATGCGGCCAAAATAGCCCCCAACGGCACCAAGACGTCCCTAATATGTCCCAAGAAACTCCTCAAAAGGCCTCCAACGATGCCCGAACTTGCGAAAACCAGTCAACGACCTTGGGGAAATCAATGCTTTTTGGCTCCTGAGGCTTTTCGGCTTTAGACCGCTTCGGGACAGCTTCAGAGAGCCCCACTCAGCCTCCAATGCGGCTTGACACAAATCCAGACACAACTCCCAGGTGGCCCCAAGACTGGCAACGAACCCTGTGAGACGGCCTAAGAAAGCTCCCAAACCGAGGAAACGAATTCAAACTTGAGACCTGCGCGAATTCAGACCGTGCGCTGAACGGGGTGGGTCCAATTTCCGCTAAGACCGTCCGCGAACGGCCCAATGAGCCCCCAAGACTACATGATCTCCCCCAGATGCCCCAAGGAGCCTCCAGGAGACGCTCCAAGGGACCCCATCGAGGCCCAACGAGACGAACACCAGCGACACACAATAGGAGTTACACTTTGTTTTGCTCATGAGGCCTTTCGGCCTCATGTTCCCTCGGGGAAGCTTCAACGAGCCCAAGGAAGCCTTCAATACGGCCCAATGCTGACCCGAGAGAGCACCCAACTGGTCCCAATACCGCCCGAGAACCCTCCAAGATGGCTCCAATACGGCCCCAAGCCAGAGGAGACGAGATCAGATTCCAGACTCGCGCGAGCTCAGACCGCGCACTGAACTGGCGCGGGCGTCAAAATCAACCTCGTTCACGCTGCGCTGCTGCGCTGGCACGGCGGGACGGCACACGCACCACACTGCGCGGTGAGCGATCGTCACGGGCCAGAGGGCTCGTGGGACTGGGTCAACTGCGGGCCATCTCTGAGAGTAGCTGCATCTACCCTTCTGCACCTGTCTGGCCATCGCTCGGACGTCCATTCCCCGTGCATTGTTCGATTTCGTGCGTGTATTTTGCCGAGGAAAAATGCACACGCTCGAGCGATGCCAAGCTGCGAACGAGCAAACCCTCGACTGGGCTACGCCTCCGGTCGAGGTCTCTTCAAGACCGAGACAGGTGCCAGAGGCGAAGGAATTTGGCCGACCGCACACCACATCTGTGAGCGTTCCTGCGCCACGGGATCCTGGTTGGCAGCTCGCTTTGCATCGTTCCCCCCACCTGCTCCTCCCAGATTCGGCCTCCTTATCCGACGCCTCGTCCTTCCTCTTTCCTGCTGGTGCTCCTCCCGCTTCTTCTCTCCAAGCGCAGGGCGGGCTGTATCATCGCCTCTTCGCTACATCTCTGCACTACACTGTCGCATAGAATGGGGCTCTCTGAATATGCTACCATGTGCAGGGCGCTTCTACAGCTGGAGATAGCAGATCAGGCAATCGACTAGCAAGAACGATCGATCTGATAGTAACTAGCTCGCCACAGTTGCATGCCTGTTACAGCCATTTTGCATCATTTCACACTCCTGCCTGGGCCTTCACACATTCGCAGCCAACCTCGCTTTTTGTGCACAAGCTGTGTAGGTGATGGGAGAGCAAGCAATATCTCCCGCATGGGGGGGGGCACATTGGACGCGGGCCTTGTTTATGTCGGCGTACCTCTTTCTTTCCTGAGGGCTGCTTAGCATCGCCCGTCGCAGTCCGTCCGCGGGCAAACGAGTAATACTCTACCCAATCTTCTCGATCATTCATCCATTGTCATGATCATTCTCCTCCGGACCCTCCGTCTCTCCAAGTGCGGCTGCAATTCCCACCCCTGGCATGTCCCCACGACCTTTCATAACCAACACGATAAAATGATTTCGAAATTCGTTTGCTGTGTGAGGCCACTTGCAACGTCACCTGGCGCTGCGTCATCGTCAGCGTGCTTGAGCCTCTCACGGGGAGCAAGAGGAATGCTCAGGAAACACGTAAACAGAGGATGATAGAACGAGGATCGGGGTCTACAACAAATAATGTCTTCATCGCCTGGTTTACACACGATATTGGACAGCACATTCCGTGACATCTTACTAAACAACATTGGGTCGCCTTGGCCAACCCTGAACCCACCTTACTGCCCCGCACACTCCCACCAATGGTGCGTGGCCTATCAAAACGAATCACCGAATCTGCCGTCATGCTCACCACGGGTGTGGGCATGCGTCCAGAAACGCGTTTACGGGGGACGCACCTGCATCAAGGATGCGTTGAAACAACTAATCACCGACGTGTTTCAATTTCAACAGGCAAGGTCGTATTCACGTTCAAAGGCATTTCAGACACATGCCCGTTATCTGGCGAACCAGAATATCCAAGATACCATACTGTCGCTTTACAGATGGTCCGTCATCAGGAGCTCCTTTCAAGTCACCAGGGGGGGAACCAAATGTGCTGCCGTTGAGACTTGGTCCATGCTGCTTCCGATCGTATCGGCGGCTATTCCCGAAATCTACGAACAACATCGTAGGACCAAAGCACGTTTGCCAACAGCACACAGGCTTTGATGGTGGACACGTCTACAGTGCCCGTTTGCCTCATACCACCTCCCAACAAACGCTGCAAATCTTCTGTGCCCTCCCAATTCGCGAGACAATCACCGGTGCTTGTCCTCTTCCTGCTCTGCCCCGGGAGGAGGACCTGAGGAGGAGACGACGTAACCAGTGCACTTATCCCCGCACTAGGAGGTGGGGAGGTATAAACGGATAGTGAGCAGAGGAGGCAATACTAGTGGGGAAGAGGAGGGAGGATGATCAGCAGGATGGGGAATGAGAAGCCACTCGTCCCTCCTCCCTCCTTCTCCCCCCGGCCCAACAGAAAACTCGATCCATCCACGATCCTGCTCCTCATCCGCCTCCCTCCGTTCTCCTCCTCCTCCGCCTGCGCTTCCGCCTGCGCTTCCGCCTGTGCTTCCGCCTGCGCTTCCGCCTGCACTTCCGCCTACGCTTCCGCAGGGCTACTGCCCGCCGGGGTGCCGAACGCGCAGGACAGAACGCCCCGATCCAAAGCCTTCCCCCTCCCTCCACTCCCCTGGGTTCGGGCGCACGCCGACATTGGTTCAGAGTGCGTGGATCTGGCGCGCGGTCGCCAGACCCGTGGATCGGGGAAGGCGCCCCGAAGAAATGACGCCAATGCCGCCCGCTTTGGTGCCGAAGAGGGCCGATTCCGCATGGAACCGGGGCCCGTCGCTAATCCGCGCGCCCAAATCCATGTTTGTGTTTCCTCGAGGCAACGCTAACATGGATTAAAGCGCGTGGATTGGCGACGGGTCCCGCTTTCACTTAAAATCGGCTGTCGCCAAATGAGGCGGCATTGGCCTCGTGCGTCGGAGGTGCCTTCCCTGATGCATGGATCTGGCCAGATCCACGGATCCCTAATCCTTGTTCGTAAGCACCCGATCCTGGGCCCTCCTCCCGTTGCCTGCCCCACCCCCCTGATGTAACACCTTGCGCACCTGGTGAGGAGCGTATCAGGCCACCAATTCATGAACTGTCGGTGGTGAACTTGACGATTTTACCAGAAGTGCTACGCACACGATTGGAACATCGAAGCCTATGTCAACTATGGAGCTCTTCACCTGCAAACAAGAAGGTGGCAATTCACGGGAACCTCCCATGCCATTTTCTCCCTCCAGGACCACGGCCGACCGAAAGGCAGGCTTGGAAGGCGACCCCGAAGGCGAAATGGGGAGGGGGAAGGGCGGCGGTCCTGCTCGGCTACCTGCTCGTCCGTCATCGCCTGGGGCGGGGGCCCAGCCCAAGAGGGGAAGGCGGGACGAAACGGGCAGGGGCGAGGAGGAGGAGGAGGAGGAGGAGGAGGAGGAGGAGGGTAGAGAGGAGGGAAGGGAGGAGGAGCAGGAGCAAGAGCAGGAGGAGGAGGAGGAGGGAAGGGAAGGGGAGGAAAAGGAGGAGGAGGAGGAGGAGGAGGAGGGAAGGGAAGGGGAGGAAAAGGAGGAGGAGGAGGAGGAGGAGGAGGAAAGGGATGAGGAATAGGAGGAGGACGAGGAGGCCCAGAGAAAACCCGAAATGCGTCAACCCTGTTCCAAATCCCCTCCCCATCTGTCCCTACAGGCTTCCCTCCTTTGCTGAAAGAAACGCCACTTTGAAAGACCAACACACTTTGCCTGTCATGTGTTGGAAGACTCCGCTTTGAAAAGAAATGGCCTTGCATCCTTCTGGCGAAGAAAAATCATACAATGCAGCGGGGTGTCCAACGGCATTACACTTCCGAAAAAGGGCCGCCCCATCCGTGCAACGGTTGCACACGGTCACACTTGTGGCCATGAACTCCGAAGAATTGTCAGTTGCATACGTTTGCACGTGTGGCCATGGACATCACATACATTGCACACGATAATCAAATTGTGAAAGGCGTCCTGGACTCGTCCCATGCTACATGTGTTGAAGCTCTGGGTCGTAAATGTAGGCCGAAAGCCCCACCTTGAAAACGAGCAATCGTCCATCTTTCCGGATGTGGCAAAAACGTCAATGCGCGCGGCGTTTAGGCGAGAGCGACACTGTGAAAAGGAGTTGTCCTCGATTCTTGAAGTTGTTGCAAACTTGTGAAACTAATTTGGGCGGCGCGATAGCGAGACCATCATTGCTGAAAAGACCCATCCATCCATGAAACGTTGCATGTTGATTACGAATGCTCGCGGCGCAAAGGCAAGAACCACACGTCGACAAGGATCCGTCCACCATCCTAGAAAGTTATGCAACCTTTTGAACAGAATGTGCGCGGCGCTGAAAAAGGAACCGCCTTCTATGTATGACGCGATGGCAAAACGCTGCAACACATGTAGGCAGCGCTGAGGTGAGAGCCACACATTGAAACATAGATGCGGGGCTCAAAGGCAATAGCCACAGCTTGGAATGACCAGTGCCCTACCCTTGAGATTGTTGGAAGTGTTCAAAATAATGTGCGCGGCGCTTCGGTGACAGCGACGTTTTGAGCACGATACACCCATGCTTAAGGCTGTTACATGTACTAAAGCAACTATACTCGTCGCTAGGGCAAAAACTACAATTTGAAAACGACCCCCCTCCATACCTGAACCTGTTTCAAGCTTCAACCTCAGGCTTATACATGGCAGAGAAGTGCCAAGCGAAACGCCCAGTCCACTCTACCGACACGTCTGGGGGTGCGACAGGACATACTTAAATATCACGACGCGGGGTGGAGGGCAGAAGGTGGAGGCGGGGGGAGTGGAAACGCTGGGGCAAGACACGGATGGGGAGAATTTTGGTAATCCTGCTGGCTCGGCTCAAGAGCCCAAACAAGCGATGTCGTGGCGTGGGTGCGAAACAGGATACCCCCACAAGGGACATGGGCCCTGCGGGGGGTGGCGGAACCTGGAGAAACGAGGGGGTGGGAGTCGAAGTTGGGGAACGAGCGCTCAGCGGGATCCTGGCTGGAAGGGGGAGAAAACAAGCCCGATCACCACCACTTCGGCCTGTTGTACAAAAACAAACACCGACCACAGCCACCCGAATCGGTCGAATTATCGCCTACGTGAGAGAGACAGTCACCTCAACTTCGGTCGGCTTCGTCCGAGCATCTGCGCGGCATATTCCGAGCATCTGCGGCCTCATCGGACCTCTGCGCGGCCTCTTATCTTCCGGGCCTCTGCGCGGCCTCCTGCGAACTTCCACGAAGTTTCTGCGAGATTTCTCTCCAGGAGGCATCTGGAAGGCAACTGGGAGGATTCCGAAGGGCTTCCGAGAGGCTCCCGAGAGGCTCCTGGGAGGCTTCTGGGAGGCGTCAGAGAAACCTCTCGGGTGCTTCTGAAAGGCTTCCGAATGATTCTCGGGAGGCTTCCTACATGTTACTGAAAGGCTTCTGGGAAGTTTCTGGGAGTCTTCTGGTAGGCTTCTGGGAGGCTCCTGGAAGGTTCCCGGGAGGCTTCTGAAAGGCATCCGATCGGTTTTCTAGAAAGTTTCTGGGAGGCTTCTGAAAGGCGTCTGAGAGGCTTCCCGACCACTTCCCCAGGGCCCGTTCTGCATCCCGAATCGTTATTTGACGGTCCCGGGCCTGGCGACGGCCCCCAGAAGCCAAAAACTGGTTAAAACAACCGGTCGCGGTTTGCACCGGGACGAGACAACTCATTTGGGCACCAGGCGCGTCCTTGCCAGTGCTGGGCCTGTTCTGGGGCCTCGCGCTCCAGTAGCCCGTGAAGCGACGCACCTCGATGGTCTCCAGATGCATGACGCCGATCGGCTGCGCCCAGCCACTTGCGGAGCGGGGGCAGAAAGGGAGTAGCGTAAGAAGAAGGCGGGAGGTCCGAGATCCCGACGATACTATTAAGAACGACCCGACTCGAAAACTGCCGCAGAAAGAATGGCGTCTAGTGCTCCGGTCGTGATTCTCTACGATGCTGCATTCTTGTCCAGGACGTCGGATCTCAGAGGGCGCGTGCACCGGCTGTTGCACGAGAAGCAGGGCGGCGGCCAGGGGGGAAGGCCCGCCAGTTTTAAACGCCTCGCCCTCCTCTCCACTGCCAGAGAGCACCGACGCCAGTACTTACGCACTTACGCACCTGCTCATTGGACATGGACTTGTGGGCCCCTTCGCTCTCCGCATGCGCTCCTCCTCCCATCGCTCCTCCGCAAATCTATCTACTATATTCTGCAGCGCGGCTAGCTGACAATCCGACGGGATCCGCCGGCCCCCTTGCGGGGCCATCAGGCTGCGAGGATTAAGGTTGCTGCTCCCTGCGCCAGCTCCAATTTCCAGTTCCCATTGTTACAATACTGCTTTCTGCGTCCTACTGTAAATTGTTACTGTCCGCGCGAGGGGGGGAGCTGAAAAGCGCCCTGGTTAGCTTCCCCTGAGAAGGTTCTCTGAATTTCTGGGGGGGCGTGGGACACAAAAAAAACTAGAGTTTCGTGCCCCCAAGCCATAATCCCTCGCAGATTACTTTGTATTCGCGCCCCCGAGGCCACGATCCTTCGCAAATTACGCAGAGGGCGCGCCCCCGAGGCCGCGAATCCGCCTTGCGGAGGCTGCCGAAAAGGCGCTCCCCCTCTCCAAAACAAAACAACGGCAATTTTCTGTATTGGTATATGTGCTCCGCTGGTTTCCTTTTGCCCCCCCCGTTTTTGGAAAATTCAGCGGTGGGTTCCACATTCACCCCCCCCCAGGCCACGATCCCTCGTACGTTACGCCACATTTGCGCCCCCGAGGCCACGATCCCTTATAAATTACACCACATTCGCGCCCCCGAGGCAACGATCCCTGGTAAAGTACGCCGCTGTCGCGCCCCCCAGGCCACGATCCCTTGTAAATTACGCCACCGTCGCGTCCCCGAGGCCACGATCCCTTGCAAATTTCACCAAATTCGCGCACACCCCCCACGCTATGAATCCACTTCGCGGAAGCTGCCCAAAGGCGCCACTCCTTCTCCAGAGCAGGAACAAATAACCTTCCCAGAGACTGCCTGAAGCAATCCCCAGCCGTTCCCAGAGCGCTTCCAGTGAACAGCTGGAGGAAAATGCCAAGAAGGCAACAAATCGTTCAACAACAACTTCAACATCTCAATCTGTTTTGCTCATCGCCAGCCGCCCTAGCATGACGTTCCCGAGTGTCATCGAGACGGCGCCCGAACATCCCAATATAGCTCTGATGTATCCCATTATGATAGAGAAGGGGGCTGGCGGCAGGGGGCGAAGCCCTTATGGATATACGGCTCTAGGTTCTGCACTGCTTTGCCTACAGCAAACGAGAGAAACATCGAGCGTTGCAAACGATATGGGATGCCTTTGCGAACGCCATAATCCACCATACGGATATATAATCAACCGTGTGCCTGCAGCCTTTCTAGCTCGAAGCTCTGGGGGAACATCTTGGGCCAGTCTAGCATCATCGACGAACTGTCACCCCCCACCAGGTCTCTAACCTGAGGGCAACTACCCCCAGAGGTCTTGAAACGAACAAGCATCAAAATTCCAAACTTGCAATAGGTCCATGTCCTGGCGAAGCGCAGCAAACGCACATGTTGTTTTGTGTTCTGCGCGCAATTATCTTCTACTAAAAATTCGGACCGCAAGTCAGACGCCATCCTCGCGCGCTCCAGGGGCGCGGCTCTCTCGTGCTTCCGCCCTACACGGCAAAGTTCCAGATCGTCAACATACTGGCACTGAGATAGATCGATCGGATCTGGGTCGCACAGGCCGATCGCCACCGAACTACCGTCCGTCGCGCCAACAGCGGCCATGGCACTGCACCGCCGTTGCGCCCCAAGTTGGAAGGCCCTCGCCCGCGCCGCCACCATGCGCGGGCCCCCCGCCATCCCTCCACAACCAGGCCGCAAAAGCACATACCCGCATTCACGTGGAACAGACATGGCGGCCTGCTCAACCGTCTAGAGCCCCATCGGGACCGCCCCCCAATCAAACAGTGAAGCCGTGGCTGCTTGTACACGTCACTGGGCAATGCTCCCGGGCGCGTCGGTAGCATCAAACTACTGCCTGCAGAAAGAGCGGCCTTCTTTCTCAGCCCACCACGCTCGCATCAACGATGCCAGCATCGGAGCCACTTTGCACCTGCGTAGTTGGCACCCATGAACGTCAGGAGCCATGCTCTGTCTGTTCTTCAGCGCGGAGTGCCACGCGTTGTCAGAGGGCGGCAGCATGCGCACCCATCGCCTCCCTGCCGGTCCCCCAGCGCTCGTTTTCCTAAGACCGCCAGCCTGGATGCAGTGCCAAACCCTAGGAGTGATGTGATCCGAGCAGTCCTGATGCGCTGGAACCCTAGACGCCCTGCTTTCGTAATAATCAAAAACTTCGGAGGATCTGGCGCACCTACTCCTGCAACCTGCTTCTCGGCCGCGACCCCAGCCCATGGTTTCAAAGCCGCGTCCTGGAATTGCACGGGAGAGTACCATTTAGACGGGGTTCGACGCTTCGGGGCCTTACACAACTGCCCATGCACTCGCCGCGCGTTTCCCCCGCCTGCTCGCTCACTGCATTGATAGGAACGGCGGGCGAGCTGACGGGCCCCAATCCCCCCCCCCCCCCCCCCCGCGCCCCCAATCCCCCCCCCCCCCCCCCCGCGCCCCTGCAACTCCCGAGCCGCCATCCCGCCCTCGGGCCCAGGCAGGGCCTGGAACTTCAGCAGCTCCTTTCGCGTCGGCAGGGCGGCGCGCACCTTGAGAACCGCCACTTCTCGGGCCCGATGCGCGCGCGCGCCGCAGCACGAGCGCGACGCATGGCTTTGCGGGGGCTCCGAATGCCCCATGACTCGCGCAAACTCCCAGCCGCTCTTCTCTGCGCCGCTGGAAAAAAAAACAGAGACATCGCCCTCAATTCTCTCGTGGCTCGGCGAAGCTGATCCGTGATTTCTCCCGGCGCAGGGGAAGAGGCCCCCTCGATGGCTGCGCGGAGCACGCGGCGTCGAACGGGCGACCTGGAACGGACTCTCTCCAGTTCAGCTTTGCCAGGCGCGCGCTGAGAGGCCCTGGGGCAAATTGGGGCAGCAACCTCGCGCGACACATGCTCAAGGGGCAGCGAACAACGACGCGGACAGCGACCGCTCAGGCAGGTCCTCCGCCCAGAGCGCCCCTCGCCCCCCCCCCCCCCCATCCCCCTCCTGGCTCGGCCATCGTCGCGTCTGGTTTCAGACGTCCCGGCCCGAAGCGCGCGCGGGGCATGCGCATTGGCCTGCGCTTCGCTTGCGTATGATGGCCGCCTCGCTTCTACGCGAGCGGGCAGATGGTCGCGTTTTGGCAGCGGCGTAGATCAGCTGCAACGCGCGCCCTCTGCCAACCAAGGGGCCTGCCGCACGCGCCGCGCTGAACGTGGCCTTCGACGAGCAGATGCAATCGATGATCAAAATGCGGTTGGCCCCGTAGCACGTCGGCACGTCGCTCGGGGTGGCGACCACCATCGCGCGCTGCGCCTGCAACGCCGCCCGGAAGCTAACCTCCGCGAAGCGCCCCAGGCTGGCGCCCGCAGGCGGGGCAACCTCTGCATTGATGCTCACTGTGTCCAGCGCGCGGATGAACCCCAGTCCGTCGTTGAGGTCATACATCGCCACTGGGGCCGAACTCGCACGACACGACGCCAACTCGCGAGGCAACCGCTGCAGCAAGCCTCGCACCGCCCGCTTGTACAATGCCTGATTCTTGGCCTCCTTTGTCTGAGGAGGGAAGTAAAGAATCACCGTCAGCATCTGTGTTATTTGCCCTGGCTCGCGCCGCCAGACGCCGCCCGAGACGCCCGCGAGGCCCCCCGCGGACAGCGCGAACGCGTTCGTCACGAAACCGACAGCGCAGCAGAACCGATACCCCACGCGATCTGTTGGAGCGAGGGCCTCGCCACCAAACCGCCTCCAACACCAAATGACCACTGATGCGCCGCATCGGGGTGTCCAACTCGTTAGCGCGCAATTGAGCATCGACATCCCGGAAACCAGAAAACAGAGCACACATTTTCTACCCTGTCCGCTCGGGTACACGCGAGCGAATTATACTGCGCAAACTTCCATGTAGGCCCAGCTCGACTCAAAGTGGTACGCCACAGCGGCATGGTAAACGAGGAGAAAACAGCCAAGCGGCTCATTGCGCCCACCTCATCTCTCGGCTCAGCCTGTGGGCCAGTAGTTCGGTAAGAGGTGCCTGGAGGACGGGAAGCGCACGCCGCCTCATTGCTTAAGCCAAAACGACAGCTAGGATAATGAAAAAGGAGAAAAACCCTCCCCGCCCTGCTCCTCGCGCCGCCCCCCACTCCTCCGAGGAGCAGGAGTAGGAGTCAAGCTGGCCAGCTCGTGCGAGTCAAGCATGGCACGTCAATTCCCACCCGCCCTCCCACACCATAAGAAACATTACTGGCGCAACCAGGGGCCGAACGCCCAGTGCACGCAGAAGTGGCGGTAGTAGTAGCATTAGTAGCAGTGGTAGTAGCAGTGGTAGTAGTAGTAGTAGTAGTAGTAGTAGTAGTAGTAGTAGTAGTAGTAGTAGTAGCGGTGGTAGTGGTAGTCATAATAGTAGCAGTAGTAGTAGTAGTGGTAGTAGTAGTAGTAGTAGCAGTAGTAGTAGTAGTAGTAGTACTAGTAGTAGTAGTAGTAGTAGTAGTAGTAGTAGTAGTAGTAGTAGTAGTCGTAGTCGTAGTAGTCGTAGTTGTCGTAGTAGTGGAAATAGTAGTAGTAATAATAGTAGTAGTAGTAGTAGTAGTAGTACTAGTCGTAGTCGTAGTCGTAGTCGTAGTCGTAGTCGTAGTAGTAGTAGTAGTAGTAGTAGTAGTCGTAGTAGTAGTAGTAGTAGTAGTAGTAGTAGTAGTACCTGGTCGTATAATAATAATGGGAAAGAATGGCGGTAGTAGTAGCAGTCGTAGTAGAGGTAGCAGTAGTAGTAGTAGTAGTAGTAGTAGTCGTCGTAGAAGTAGTACTGGTAGTATTGGTAATGGTGGTCGTAGTAGTAGTAGTAGTAATAGTAGTAGTAGTAGTAGTAGTAGTAGTAGTAGTAGTGGTAGTGGTAGTAGTAAAAGTAGTAGCAGTAGTGGTAACAGTAGTAGTAGCACTACTACTGCTAGGACTAGTACTAGCAAGAGTAACAGTAGTAGTAGTAGTAGTCGTCGTCGTCGCCGTCGTCGTCGTCGTCGTCGTCGTCGTCGTCGTAAGTAGTAGTAGTAGTAGTAGTAGTAGTAGTAGTAGTAGTAGTAGTGTAGTAGTAGTAGTGGTAGTAGTAGTAGTTAGTAGTAGTAGTAGTAGTAGTAATAGTACTAGTAGTAGCAGTAGTAGTAGCAGTAGTAGTAGTAGTAGTAGTACGAGTGATAACGGTAGTAGTAGCCGTCGTAGTAGTAGAAATAACAACAATAGAAACAATAGTAGTCGCAGTAGTAACATTATTAGTCGTGATCGTAGTAGTAGTAGTAGTAGTAGTAGTAGTAATACTAGTACTAGTAGTAGTGGTAGTAGAGTCGTAGTCGTCGAAGTAGTACGAATAGTAGTCGTAAAAATAATGCCGTAGTAGCAGTAGTAGTTGTAGTAGTAGTAGTAGTAGTAGTAGTAATAATAAAAGTAATAGTGGTAGCACAAGTCGTCGTAGTAGTCGTAGTCGTAGTTGTAATCGTAATCGTAGTAGTACTAATGTAGTAGTAGTACTAGTGGTAGTAGTAGTAGTAGTAGTAGTAGTAGTAGTAGTCGTAGTAGTAGTAGTCGTCGTCGTCGTAGTAGTAGTAGTAGTAGTAGTAGTAGTAGTAGTCGTACTAGTAGTCGTAGTAGTAGTAGTAGTAGTAGTAGTAGTAGTAGTAGTCGTAGTAGTAGTAGTAGTAGTCGTCGTCGTCGTAGTAGTAGTAATAGTAGTAGTAGTAGTAGTAGTAGTAGTAGTAGTAGTAGTAGTAGTAGTAGTAGTAGTAGTAGTAGTAGTAGGTAGTAGTAGTAGTAGTAGTAGTAGTAGTAGTAGTAGTAGTAGTAGTAGTAGTAGTAGTAGTAGTAGTCGTAGTAGTCGTAGTGGTAGTAATGGGAATAGTGGTGGTATTCGTAGTCGTGGTCGCAGTAGTAACAATACTAATACCAGTCGTAGCACTAGTGGGATTCATAGTACTAGTAGTAGTAAGTCTTCGTAGTCGTAGTCGTCGTAGTAGTAGTAGTAGTAGTAGTAGTAGTAGTAGTAGTAGTAGTAGCCGTAGTAGTGATACGAATAATCATTGATAGTAGCAGTAGTAGTAGTAGTAACAATAATGGTAGTAATAACCTGACCGGGCAAGAAAGGGAAGCGTCGCTTTTGTTTACTAGGTATGTGAAGTGTGCTCTTGTGTTGGTCTGCCGCGCACATATGCCGTGGCGTTTGTGCGTTTGCGCGTGCGTGTGCGTGCGTGGAATACGTGCATGTGTGTCCGTGCGGGGCGGTCTGCGGGGCTGCTGCGTTATGCCGTGCTGCTCTGTCGTGCTCCTGCGGTCTGCGTGAAGGTATGTTGCCTCTGCGTGTGTGCGTGTGTGTGCGTGTGTGTAGGTGTCTGTGTGTGCGTGTGCGTGTGCGCGTGCGTGTGCCAATGTGCGTGTGCCTATGTGCGTGTGCCTGCGGGCGCGGCTGCGTGCATACTTGGATGTTATATATGTTCTGCCGTGCTCCTGCACATTCTGACGTGCTCTGATGTGTTCTGCCGTGCTCCTGTGTGTTCGGCCGTGCTCCTGTGTTCTGCCGTGCTGCTGCGTGTTCTGCAATGCTCCTATGTGGTTTGCGTGGTCCGCCGGACTCCTGTGTGTTCGGCCATGCTCCGACGTGTTCTGCCATGCTCCTATGTACTCTGTGTGTTCCGCCGTGCTCCTCATGATATTGCGTGTTCTGTCCTCGTGACCCTGCGTGTTCTGCTGTGCTTGCTCCTATGTGTTCTGCCGTGCTTTGTGTGTCCTGTCGTCAAATCTGCCGTTCACCTATGTGTTCTGCCGTGCTCCTATGTGTACTGCCATGCTCCTGTGTGTTCGGCAGCGTTCCTGCTTGTTCTGCCGTGCTCCTATGTGTTATGTGTGTTCTGCCGTGTTCCTGTGTGTTCTGCCATGCTCCTGCGTGGTAGGCCGCGTTCCTGCTTGTTCTGCCGTGCTCGGCCACGCTCCTCATGCCCCTGTGTTCTGCCGTGCTCCTGTGTTATGCCGTGGTGTTGTGTGGTCTGCCATCTTCTTGTGTTCAATGTTAAAGTTAAGATTAAAGACGGGGCCTTCAAGGCGATCGGTGGCCAGAAAACGCAGACAGGGCCAGACGGGGCCCGCGTTCCCGAAATACGCCGAGTCGAGACACGCCCTTCCGAGAGGGGCCACCTAGGACCGCCTCTCAACACGGGCCAGGGAAGGCGGACGGCAAAGCCACTGGCTCTGGCCCCCAACCCGCCCAAGCCAATCGCGCAGGCACTGCGAGAACAGAAGCTACGCATGATCGCTACCCAAGCTCGACTGCATTACAAATACACAACGTGCACGATTCAAATGCAGGAGGCATGACTCACTGAACAACCACTGCCCCCCACCTCCAATGGGGAACAGGCGCGCAAAGCGAACCATCGCTCAGAAGGCATTCCGAACACGCAGGGAAAAGACGTCTCACAAGGAGCACCAACCACGTTGCTCCAACCACTCCTCGATTCCAAGCCTGGAGGCAGCGGCGCCCCGCCTGCAGTACCTCCAACGCTCGCTCCTTCATCCGAGGGCGCCTGCGCCGTCGCGGAACCAGCTGCGAGCCAAGCGCGGGCGACGGCCGCCCTCGCGCGCCACCAATCACGAGCCGCGACCTCGCCGCGAGCCCTGGAGCCGCCGCCCCCGCGGAAGAGGGCCTGCGGGAAGGCGTCGAGGTACGCGGCGGCGGCGGCAGCGCCGCGCCCAGCAGGTTCGGCAGCTGGCTGCCCCCCAACCGGGCAAGAGGTGGCCACGTCGGCCTCGCCGTCGAGGATCACGCCGTCGGAGTCGGAGCACTCGCCAGCAGCGCGCGGCGGCGCCGCCAGAGCGCCCGCGGCCTGCACGAAGTCCACTTCGCAGTCAACCTCCGACACCCCAGGGAAGAGAGGGGAAGGCACGTAGCAATCGCCGATGAGGGCGCCACGCCCAACGCGGGCGCGCCCAGCCAGCTCGAACTCCACGTTAAGCTGCTGATGCGCCTCGTCGCACTCATCGACGTCCTTCCGGGCCTGCGCCACCTGGGTACCGCCGCCGCCGGCAACGGCGGGGTCAATCCCAGCTGGGGCGAAGGGCCTCGCGGCCGACCGCAACGCCGTGCGCGTGGCAACAACTCGGCCAAACTGCGGCACCGCCTCCGCCTCGCAAATCTCCACGTGGCACTCGATCTTGCGCTCTCGCCTCGCCTCCAGCCTGGCGGGCCGCTGGGGCCGCCGCAGGGTGAGGCCACGCGCCGACGCGACCCTGACCCCAGGGGCGTCGGCGTGGAGAGCCACATTCCTCCGCGCTGCATCCTCCTGCTCGGGGGCCACTCCCCGCAGCAAGGCCGTCAGCGCGGGCGCGATCGCCTCCGGGCGGTCGGCCAGCTCGGCGTCGCCCACGTAGGGCGCGAAGCGCCGCCGAACGGCCTCCAGCTCGCTGCGCAGGGCCGCTGCATCCGCGAGCGCCGCCTTCACTCCTTTATCCGCTGCCTCGAGCGCCCGCCTCCGAGCCGCAGAACGGTGCGCGCGCGCCCGCCGCGGCTCGCCGAGGCGAGCGCGCAGCGCCAGGAACGCTGCCCAGCGCCCCCGCCCGCGCCATCGCGCCCAAGCGCCCGCCGCGCGCGCCCGAGCCAGGCTTGAGCCAAAATGGCTACGGAATGTGTTCAATGTTCTGTCGTGCACCTGCGTGTTCTGCCGTACTCCTGTGCGCTGCCCAATTATATGTATTTTGTGTGTCCTGCCATGCTCCTGATGCTCCTGTGTGCTCTGCCGTGCTCCCGTGTGTTATGCTGTGCTCCTGTGTGTTCTGCCATGCTCCCGTGTGTTCGTTGGGTTTTGCCGTGCTCCTATGTGTTAAAAGGTTAAAGGTTAAAGACGGGGCCTTCAAGGCAAGAGGGGGGAAGGAAAGAAAGGGACCGATGGGGCCTCCAGGGGCACCAAGCGCCGCCCGAGACACGCCCTCCCGAGAGGGGCCGCCTAGGGCCGCCTCTCCCCGCGGGGCCGCACTGGGCCTCCACCGCGGCCGCACCACTATGCGAGAACAGATCTACATGCAAAATGCAACTGCCCGCCTCGCGCACTCGCTCACGCGCTCGCCTCCACCACAGGTGTGGCTTCGAGCTCACTCACGGGACGGCATCCAGTGTCCTCCAGCACGCCGCGCTCCGAGTCCACCTCGTCCTCCCCGCCCTTCCAGTCCACGCAGCTGTTGCCTACGTCGGAGCCGATGTGGTAGGTTACCCCACCCGAGGCCTCGACGCCCTGCGCAGTTTCGGGAAGGCCTCCAGTGTCCTCCAGCGCATCGCACTCTGAGTCCACCTCGTCCACCCTGTCTTTCCTCTCCTCGCTGCTGTCGTCTGCGTCGGTGCCGATGTGGCAGGTCTCCCCGCCCAAAGCCCCGCCGCCCAGCGCTCCCTCAGGAAAGCCTCCGGCGTCCTCCAGCACGTGGCACTCCGCGCCGCGCTCCGAGTCCACCTCGTCCTCCCCGTTCTTCCTGTCCTCGCATCTGTTGCCTTCGTCGGATCCGATGTGGCAGGTCCCCCCGCTCGCGGCCTCGACGCCCTGCGCAACCTCAGGACGGCCTCCAGTGTCCTCCTGCGCTTCGCACTCTGAGTCCACCTCGTCCTCCCTGTCCTTCTTCTCCTCGCTGCTGCCGCCAACGCCGGCGCCGGTGTGGCATGCCTCCCCACCCAAGGCCCCGCCGCACGGCGCTCCCTCAGGAGAGCCTCCAGTGTCCTCCAGCTCGTCGCACTCCGACTCCACCGAGCCCTCCATGTCCTTCCTCTCCTCGCTCTCGGCCTCAGGCTGCCGACGGTGCAGCGGCGGCGCGGCCGCACGGCACCCGCGCCTGCTACCCAGCCTCCGCCTGCTGCCGCCATGCCTGCTTCCGCCCAGCCGCTGCCAGCGGTTGAGCTGCGGCAGCTCCGCCAGGCTGATGGCGGCGGCTGGCGCGGCTGCGCAGTGCAGGCCCGTGTTACGCCGCGCTTTGCGCAGGGTTCGCACGGCCTTCCCTGCGCCGTCGGGCTCTCCAGCCAGGACGCCCTCCAGGATCGGCGCCGCGAGCGCCATCCTGGCCACGAGCTCGCCCGCGAGCGCCGCATTCGGCTCCGCGATGTCGCCCTCATCCTCCGCGAGGCGCACCGCCTGGGCCGCTGCCGCCACGTGCCGAGCTTCCTCAGCAGCGACGCGGGCCCGCGAGGCGTCAATGGTGGCCTCGAGCCCCGAGATGCGGCTCGGAGCGGCAGACAGCCGCCCGCTTGCCGCCTGCTGCGCAGCCGCCCGCCGCGCCCTCCGCGCAGGCCAGAGGGAACCCCCAGCCTCGCACCCAGGCCGCTCCGCCGTCTCACAGGCAGCCGTGCAGCCGACCGTCGCCACCGCGCCCAGAAACGCCTCCCACGCGCCGAGCCCGCGCCCGCGCGCGCCCGAGGAGCGGCTCTTGAGCCAAAATGGCTACGGATGAGCTCCTATGTGTTCTGCCGTGCTCCTGTGTGCTCTGCCGTGCTCTCGCGCGTTCTGCCGTGCATCTGCGTGTTGGGCTGCAGTGATCCTGGCCATTCTCTGAAGATGTTTCAGTCGAGAAGCTGAGTTTTAACAAGCATGGTCTTGAATTCGCTTCGTCAGTATTTCATTGTTTCGAGGATGTATCAGGCGATGTCCCTATTTCGATACGTGTGTTAAATTTGCGTGTTTCATTTTCTTGTGGCTGTCTCGAGCGAAATGCTTGTTTTTGTGACAGACGGTGTTGCGAACACGTCAGTTTGGTGAGGATGCCTCGAGCGAGATGCGAAAGTTGAGGAACCTCGAGGGCGCTTTTGGGGTCATATTGGGACTCGTTTGGGGCTCGTATGGGGCTGCCTCGATGCCATCAAAAACATATCAAAGCGATGTCACACACAATTGTGCTTAGAAGGTGTCCCTGGCGAAATCGTACTGTTTAGAAGCCTGGCTTGTGCCGTTTGGAAGCCTTGTCAAGAGCGATCCCAAGACGATGTTAGAACAGCAGTTTTCAAACACCGTGCTGCTGTACTTTGTCATTTGTTGAGGGGTGTCCCTAGCGAAATCGTCATTTTAGGCAATCGCCAGGGCGCTTTTAGAGCCATATTGAGGTCCCCTTGGGGCTCTCAGTTCTTCCTCGTGAAGCACTTCAACAACGATGTCAAGACGATGTTGAGAACTGTTTTTTTTTTCTGAGGATGTCTCCAGCGAGATGCAAATGTTCTGCTGTGTTCTTTGTTCTGGTCTGACGTGCCGCCGCTCATTTTCTGAGGAAGTCACTCGCGACACCGTAGTTTTTAACATAAAATGTAGTAACACACCTCCGTCGACATCTCATGTTGGCTTGGATGTCTGAAGCGAAACGCTAATTTTTAACAGATTAATGAATTTCGCGGCGATCAGCTTTTCGAGGGTGCCTCTAGAGCAACGCGTGTTTTTGCTCAACGCGATGTCGCGAATGTCTTACTTGTTGTGAGGATGTCTCAAACGAAATCGCCATTTTAAGGGATCCGCTAACCCTCGGCCCCGTGCACCGCGCCACCCTCTACTAGTAAGGGATCGTTAGATATGGTGCAGGCTCAGCCACAACGTCCAGCTCTTCTCGTGCCTCGAAGACGCTTCCCGTCATCAGCTGGCCCCTTTGCGGGGCCATCAGGCTGTGAGGCTTGCGCTTGCTGTTCCCCGCATCAGTGCCAGTCCCCAGTTCCGGATTACAATGCTGCTTTCTGCTTCTGACTGTAAATGGTTACTGTCCGCGCGAGGGGGGGGGAGAGCCGACAACAACTACCCTGGCTAGCGTCCCCGAATCGTGTGCTCTGCATTTCTGGGGGGCCGCGGGACACGTTACTTGAGATTCGCGCTCCCGACGCAATAATCCATAGTAGATTACGCTGCTTTCGCGCCCCCGAGGCCAACATCCCTTGCAAATTGAAATGTATTCGCGTCCCCGAAGCCACGATCCCTTATACCATACACCGTACTCCTGAGGCAACGATCCCCGGCAAATCACACCACATCCTCGTCTCTGAGGCCACGACCCCCCGCAAATAACGCCACAGTCGCGCCCACGAGGTTACGATCCTTTGTAATTTACACAACACTCGCGCCCCCGGGGCAACGATTCCGCGCAACGTAAATTACACCACTTTCGCGCCGAGGCCACGATCCTGTGTAGACTACACCACTTTCGCGCCCCCGAAGCCACGATCCCTGGTAAATCGCGCCACGTTCGCGCTCCCCAGGTCAAGATGCCCTACAAGAGGCCCCAAGAGGCGCTCACGATGCGCCAAAGAGGCCTCCAAGACACCCATAAGATACCCCACGAGGCCCCCAAGAGGTCCCATGAGGCCCCCGAGAGGCTCCCCACGACACCCCAACACATCTACAAGAGGCCTCAGACCCACAACCCAGGCACGGTGGCTGAAGGCCACTAGGGTAAAGCCAATGCTTCAATATGCGCTGATGACTCCTATCCGCCCCCCGCATGCTGTTCTCAGATGCACCTAGGCAGTGCCGAGACGCACCGACGCAACTCTGTTACATCCCATTATGATAGAGAGAGGGGGCGGGCGGCAGGGGGCGAAGCACTTTCGGATAGTAAAAACATTAGTATTAGTCGTCGTCGTCGTTGTTGTCGTATATTATTATTGATCGTAGTCGTGGTAGTGGCAGTAATAGTAGTGGTAGTAGCAGCAGCAGTCGTAGTGGTAGTAGTCGTATTAACCTTAGAATTACTAGTACTAGTAGTAGTAGTAGTAGTAGTAGTAGTAGTAGTAGTAGTAGTAGGTAGCAGGTCGTACGTCGTAGGTCGTAGGTAGCAGGTAATAAGTAGGTCGGTCGGTCGGTCGGTCGGTCGGTCGGTCGGCCGGTAGGTACGTAGGTAGGTAGGTAGGTCGGCAGTAGTAGTAGTAGTAGTAGTAGTAGCAGCAGTAGTAGTAGTAGTAGTAGTAGTAGTAG